ACAAAACATACACAATTAGAGAACTATTTACATATGTTTATACGAACAAAATGAAAATGAATGAAATGCCTAATTACATGGGCTTCTACACTAGCACAGATAGCATTAAATTCCCAGTTTCAAGTGTAATTGTTGCACATGTAGAACTTATTGGATGATTTCAGTCGGTAATAAAAAAGAATGTTATTTTTGTATTTGAGTAGAAGCAGTTCCAAATTGGCTCAAATGCTAAGGTCTGCCAAAAATTTTAATAAATAGAGGTTAACGTTTGATCATGTCGAATTGAGTTTATAAAATTTGAATTACATTGTTTGAGGTTTCGTAAATATTTATAATAATATATTATTATTTTATTTCAATTTAAACAATTTTATATAATCATAAGTAATACATATTTTTTATACGTTATATATATCATACAAAGTTGAAGGACTATTTCAAAAACCTGAAAAAAAAATTGATCCATCAACTAGGATTGAAAACCTTGTCGACCATATTCAGCCCCAAATCCATCTTTTCAATGGATCCATATTTTTATTAAAATAAGAATAATATATTTTATAAATATACTGCCAGCACTTCTTTCCTGGAAAAATATAGTTGGGTCAAGGAATCTAGCGAATAACAAGGATTTTCTTATATGGTTTTAGAATCATAAAGAGAATAGCTCAGTTAATTGCATGTTTCGGTTAAATTATTGTGTATTGGTGTAGTTTTTTTAAACTTCTTTATGGACTTCTTTGTTGTAAAACTTTATGGTATCTGATTCGTGTGTTGTTTTTATGCCTACAAAGTTGAATAGAAAAGGTTTATGGTTGTTGTATGTCGTTGATGTTTCAGATTTGAAGAATAAATGTAATGATTTGTTTAGAATAAATTGTTTTATCCTTCTTTTTTTATGTTTGTCCCAAGGGAAAGAAATACATTGGCGGACCATCTCGCTAAGGCAAGTATTAATAGACATGAATTATTCAAAGCTTGGTGGTAACCGTAGTATGTCCTGTCGAGTATGTGTTAGTAACGCTTCGATCGATGTACTTGTCTTATTTTGTTGCACTCATTTCTTCTAACTAGGAATAAGGAAGTTTTATGAATTTATGAATTTTAGGATTACTTTTAATTAAGGGATTAAATAGCAAGTTTGTAAAATTTTACGATAAAAACAACAATAAGGTTTAGCTATCAAACTTTCAAATGAGCAAGACACGAGTTTAGGAGGTTTAACAGTTGATGAAATTGATTAATTGGCTTTATAATGATGATGAAAACTCGATAAATTGTGATTTTTAAGCATAAGAAATATTATGATAAGAGATTTTATAAAATTTGTCTTTATTTGATACTCACAAACATGATAAGGACGCTCGAACTACTTGTGTTAAAATTTTCACTATGTCGAAAAATACAAGATTTGTTATAAATATTACATCCCAAAACCCTACATGCTTGACACTTTTATCACTATTTTGATTGTACGTTCATAGACCGGTCTAAATAGAAATAGGGTCATATCTCAAACAGCCATGACGAACCGAGAAAGTTAGAATTGACTGTCATGCACCAGCTTATTACAAGGCTTCTAATAACCAAGAATTATGTCTTTAGTTTCACGTTTGTGATTTGCCTAAGCTAGTTCATCAATATTACCAATAGGTTTAACATATTTGGTCCAATTACATACTTGATCATTTCTCCTAAACATGCATACTACCAAGTCACATACAACCAATATTCAATCATGTATACTTGTAAACAATCATGCATCAATCACCCAAACATGCATCCACACAATCAAATACAATCCAAAAACCTTTACTAAGAATCCATAGTTCATACAAAGTCCAAAATAAATGCCCAGTCCACAATTGGTGCCCACATTGCCACTAAATTGATTTCAAATCAAACCCAGGCTTATTGCATCAACAACTTTTCTTGCCAATGATCAATCAATGCCTTCCCACGAGTCCTTCAAATGCTTATTTCTCTGGAAAGAGCAACTAACAACAGAGTGAGCTTAAATAAGCTCAGTGAATGCCTAACATTACTGAAAGCAATTACAAAACAAATGCCAAGTAAAAGCCATCCCAAATGCAACCTACACACTGTTTTTTCCTTGTACATGTTTCATACTCATGATGGCATAATGCAAATGGCATGTTCACTTGTTGAAACTTAGGAATGAATCAAAGATGCATGTACTTATAACATGTTTTCCAAATGATAAAATGTACACATATTTTAATACACAAATGACGAGTTCAATTAGTATTCATCATCAATGATTTATTGGCAGCTTTTGTTCAACTTGAAACATAATAAATTTCACATACACATTGGATAAACAGATCTCTTTATGATTCCCATTTTATGGGCTAAATGAGTCAAGCCCAATCTCATATTGTGCTACATAAACATACACACTACAACATACCAGTCTATGTCCCAAAGAGCGGAGCACAGGCAACATCACTCTTTCTTTATCTCCCCAACCATCATGAATCCTATCATACCTCGTCAAAGTTTAAAAACAACGAGTATACTCAATCCTAAAGCATTACCCACATATATGAAGGTCTCAAAAAGAAAAATAGGTCAATAGATCTATGAAACCTTATGCAGTCTGAACTGATATACTTAATTTTCATATTCTTACTTAAAATTCTGATTTCGGATTTGATTGTCATCGACAATCCATAACACATTCAATAAGCATGCTTCCTTATCATACATGTACACTAAAAAGTGTCGGATCTATTTCAAATCTGAATTAAATCATATTCATAATTTTTCTGCATAAAACTAGTGCATCGAAACAAAATATACACACATACTTACATGTTGCCCTTACATTTAATTCAGCTGAAATTAAAAACAAATGAATATGATTTTATCAACCCAAATTTCGACATCTTAAAAATTGATTTAATCCTAAATGTGAGGGTTAATCCCCCAATTTAACCTAATTTAATCAGCTGATTTAATCCTAAATGTAGGATTAATCATCTTAAAATTTGATTTAATACTAAATGTAGGGTTAATCTTAAATGCAATTTTATTGCCCTTACATGTTAGCCCTTATATCATTTATTTGTTTTTAATTTCAACTTATTCAAAACAATTGAAGGTTAAATCATTTCGACTCGAAATCAATTTTCAAAAAACTAAAAACCAAATTGATCTGACTACGTAATTTTACATATGATTTTATTAACCCAAATTTCAACATCTTACGATTAATTTTTGGGTAAACTACGTATTTTTCACCTAATTATTTGCGTGATTCTGGTTTGATCACTCAACTATTTCTTTTTTAAAATCATACTTAATATTATGTTTTGATTTCATTTTGATCACTCAATGTTAAAAACATAACAATGATATTGATGTGTCACCATAAGATAATATCATACTATTATTGAAAAAATGTCACGTCAACAATTTTGTTAATTTTTTAACGACGGTGATTAAAATAAAACCAAAACGTAATATTACATGTAATTTTAAAAAATATGAATTAAATGTTTATTAAACATCCCTCTTAGTGCTCAACAGCATCAAATTTAGCCTTTTTGATTTGGCTTTTTCTTTTGGGTGTAATGGTGTCATAAGTCAGGCTGACAATGTTCACTTAGTTTAAGGTTTGATAAAATCCCACTAACAAATAACATATTGTAAAAGAAACACAAAAGCAAGACCACCTGAAAGGCTGTTTTGTCTGCACTTTCAAGATCTTATTCTTCATTGTCTTTTCCTTTTTCTTTCTTTAACATTTATTATTTCTCATATTTTATATTAGTTTTTAGGGTCTCCAGAAGAACATTTCTGTAATATTTAAGCATTACTTAATTCAGACAAGTGTCTCTTAATTGTTCTAAAGAGACAAAACTGTTCAACTTCCATCATCTGATGATTGGTTGGAACTGAATTAATAATTAGCTTAGTTTTTGCCTAATTTATTCACTGTTTTCTCCATTATTATATGCTTTCAAGAAAACCATGGCGACTTCTGATTTAATGCAACTCAGATTTTTTGGCTAAATTTTAATAATACTTTTTTATTTTTTTTCTTAAAATAATATCTAAAAAATAATATATAAATTCTGTATATAAAATTAATTTTTACTCTCATATATTAAATAATAATTTTGTTTTGAGACACACGTTTAAATTTGTACCAAACATGAATAACATCTGTCAGAATGAGCACATATAAATATATAATATATGTTAATACTATATGATTTTTTAATAAGACGAATATAAATAAAATTTCAGGGAATAAAATAAATAATTAATTAAAAAAATTAAATTTTAAATTAGGCAGATGTCCACTTTTTCAATAGTTTGAATTATATGTAGAGATAATAAACCCTAAATAAATATAGTATTACGTGATTGTAAAGTTTCACACTAAAAGCTTGTAAAATCAAAGCTGATGCAATGTCCCATAGGATTGCATTATTTCTTTTCTTTTCAGAAAAGAAACCCGAAAAAGGTTTAAAAGATAAATTATTATGATAATCCAGAGAATAATTGCGAGATTAACAAACAAGATAAAATTAAAAAAAAAATAGAATTTACGGAAAAAATAAAAAATAAAAAACTATATACAAAGGTTTCATTTTATAATAACTTCTATCTCTATTATTTATTTATAGAGTATATTATTTGATGCACGAACCAAATCACCGTAGAAAATAGAAATTCATAACGAATAAGTCTCATTGTAATATGAGTTTTCTTTCTCACTAAATAATTTAGACAATATAGTAACTCTCTCTTCTAGCCATGATTTTTAATTCTAAGTGTTTTTACATAAATTTTAATATATTTACTTTTGATCTTATTTTTACTATTATCTTTCCGATTATCGTAATAATATTATTTTATAGAAACTTCCGGTGATCTTTCGTAATATTTTGATTCTTCACTTTTCTTGAAGAGTATTTGTTTTCAAGTCTACGACGTATAGATTGTCGTCTTTTCTCACTCTTAAATTTCTAATATAATTTATTAAGATTGTTTCTACTAACATAAAATTGTGCGTCCGTCTTTGAACTCATCTGAGATCGCTTGCAATGTGCAATGGCACCATGAATTGGACTCTCGATATTTACTTTCACGGTACTGCTGCTTCTTTTAAGAAACGGCGGGTACTGAAAACCGTTCGAGTTCGAAGATGAAGATGAAGAACTTGAAGACTCGTTTGTCGAAGAATGTTGTTCGATCACCATCGAAAATGACCTGCTATGACGATTGCTTGGGCCGTTTCCGGTTGCGGACAACTCCTTCCCTTTATCCTGATTCATTTGTCCGAATCGGCTTCGCTTCGGTTTTGGAACCGTCACTCTATTGCCATCCTTTGCTGCTGCTGCAGAGGACTCATACGAGCAACCGGATTTGCTGAATAAGGCTTTGAGATAAGCCCTGGAAGCCTTCAGCCTTGAACTCAGCTTAAGCATTTTAGTCCAAGACTTCTTCGGATTTTCGTGTCCACCGATACATCGGCTTACGTCCGTCTCGGTCCAGTACTCGTAGAATGAGTACTCGACCGGATTCAGCTCCCTACTAACAGAAGAAGAGTCACAAGGCGAGATATTGCAAGATTCAAAAGGAGTACTCGTTGAAGTTGGTGTAGTAGTAGTGGTAGCTAATGGTGTGCCATAGAATTCTTGGAACACACCATTTTTGTCGTCGCAGACCGAATCGAAACCCAATTCGGAGATTTCGAGGAGATGAAGTGGAAGAAGTTTGCCTTTGTAGAAGAGTTCATCGGCAGGGGAAGTTGTGGGCTCTCTCTCCGAGGAAAGTGAAGACATTTGGAACTCAAATTCTCTTGAGGTTCTGGAATTGCTGAAAAAATTGGAAAATGAAGTGATTTCCATGTCAATGTATTCATCATCTTCAGGAACATTCTCAGTGAACCTCACTGCCATTTTTAATGTTTTCTTAAGGTAATAATCTCTGTGTAAGAATCTTAGTTTTAGTGCAGAGGTGAGGTTTGAAAAGAGAGGGAGGTGATTGCACTCTTTATAATGCTGCCTTGCTACATTATAAGGTTGAGTATTCGATTGTCTCAAGTTACAGAATTTCAAATTAGTCGAGTTGATGAATCTTTTATCAGATTTTAATTTTTTTAGTCGGATTGAGTTTATGGAATTCAAGTCAATTTGTTTGAGTCTATGTATAAATTTAATGATAAATATTTATATTGTTATGATGCTAATTGGTTCATATTTAAATAGTTTTCTATAATCATATATGATATACATATATTTCTTCATATTTTTCCATATAACATGCAGAGTTGAGAGATTCGACTCAAACTTAAAAATCAAATCACTAATTATTAAAAATTTTGAGTTATTCGAGTCATTATTTACAACTCAAACTTTATTTAAATTTTTGAATAAAATTGAATTTATGAATTTACTAGTCAAATTGAATTGAAAATTTTAGTTTTTTTTTATAGCTTCCCTCACTACAATTTGTGCCCAACACATTCAAACATAAATACATAGATATTTTTGGTCTAATACCACTTTAGGTCCCTATTAATTTAAATTTAAGTGGACTTGTCCTTTAATTTTTTTAGATTAAAAACTTAACGAGTTTTGTAGCAACGCATACTAAATCCAAAAAGAGAAGAAAAAAATGAACATATTTGTATTAAACATATATTCATATTCGACATTTATTTGAATTAAATAAAATAATCCAAATATATAGATATTTGTGGGATCTGTAGGGCAAAAAAGTTGAAACATGAGAGCAAACCGAAATTTCAAAACCAGGTTTCAAGCATCATCCATCACCATAAACATCATTACTGAAACAATTTTTGTATGCATGTGTGCTCCAATGGCTGCTAAAAATTAAAAGAGAGAGAGAGAGAGAATAAAGTTAATTTTTTATTTAATAAAATAATAGGGACTAAAAGCTAAACAATAACATTTTTAATTAACTTGTTTTCACTGTTTTTTTACTGGATTCCAGGGTTTGTTTTCTTCACTTTGTATACATTACTTTCATTGGAAAACACCTTCCCAAATACTACTGGAAAAATTACAATAAGGTCTAATTATCCTCTCAATCCTTGTAGTTTTGTAGATTTAAAATGTTCTCCCTCAGTTTATTTGGTAACATGGTCAATTTGAAACTGTTTGAAAGTCTTGTAAGAAAAAGGATATATCAATTTCACTTTATTTCTCCATAGCAATGTTGAATAGTCACACAATTCTGTGTTATCAATTAACAATGTTATCCCTTCCCGATATGTTCAGCTCTCGAGTGGCCCTTATAATAAAACAGAATGTATTTTTTCTTTTCTAGACGACCCGACTCCAAACAATCATGTCTGCAAGATATGTGTATATTGTCAATTGATTAAATATTACTTTTTTTTATTAATGTATGATAAATACAATGTGATATCTGTACAAAAAGAACTCTCAACTATTTGACATTGAATGTTCACACCGTTGTTATTCATGGTGCTCAAACTTGAACCTAAAGAAATAGCAACAATTCATCTACCACCAACATCATCTGATTCGTATAATTAAAAAATATTAAATAAATAATATATTATACTTATCACATGCTAATAAAAAAATACACAAATGCTCATGTTTCCACACAGTCAAAATCTCTTCAAGCATCTAAGATGTTCTTAATTCTCTCAGTCCTCGAGACTAATTTTAATCAAAGATCATTTTTCTCTTATTTCAGTTAAGGACAGAGAAATGTAGTTTTATCTGAAACAAGTCCACATCTTACTCCGCATGAACAAAACTACGTAGTGATCAGACTCGTTCATAGAGTATATGATTTAGTAGCTCGAATTTCTTTACTCTTAAAAACCTAAGCCGAGTCGAGTCACAAATTCGATTCGTTATTCACAATAATGATAAAAATAAAAGAGACCATCTTCTATTATTACATGAAATAGCAAAATTCTCATCGTCTGACATAATTATGATGAACCCCATCTTGTCCAAGTTTCGTCCCATATCTTTCTATTAATGAAACCATTTTACCCTACTATCCCAAACCACTACGCGGGTAAAGAAAAAGTTTGTCCAAAACAAGCAACAAGGGTACTGCTAAAATGATATGGGGCATAATTATGATAAATTCTACCTTGTTTAAAACAAAGTGTCTTTCGCAAGGTCACTCAATATAGCAAAATAAAGGAACCATTATCGTAATTTGAAATGAATATTGAATAAAGATGCGTCATGTGTTTGACATAATATATTCAACTTTACGGGGGGGATTTTTTTCCTTTCGCTTCATTGGTGCAGGGATTGACAAAGTAGAGCACTTGTCAAAGTGCACCGATGCTGGTTCTTCGTACAACAGCGGCACCAATAAAAAACAGAGAAAAACTATGCAATAAAAACAGTACAGTTGCTAGAAAGAACCTGTTGGAAGAGATAGTGGGGTTGGAAAATTATTTTCCTCCCATCCCCCACTAGTTTCTGTTCAAAGCAATGGAGGCCCCTGCAAAATGATGGTGTTATGCTAAAGATAAGACAAACTCCAAATTTCTATATCAGGAAACCATTTTCACTAAAGCTAATGTTTTTTTCCCTAGTGATGAACATCTCACTTTCAAACAAAGCAATGTCTTGTGTGTTTGTCGTGTGGCCATGCTTTCATTTCTCTCGAATTAGTGGTGTCTGAGACTTTTCCGAAAATGAGTATTGTAAAGATGTGAAGAAACCTATACTATATGCATACCATATAGAGAAGGCTGATCATTGGACATCAGCTCTAACCCAACCCTTTTTTTTTAAATATCAGACCTACAAATTATTCAAGGTTGAGAATTATGCAGTAAACTGTTAAAAAGTCGAAACCCGATACAGATTCATGTTTTCTATGAATGCCCGTATAACAGGTATTTACATAAGAATGAACAAATTTAAACCCCATCCGATTTTACAGAGGAAACAGTGTAAAGCTTGATTCTAAAATGAAGCTTTTTTGGCAGGTCATATATACATATATATACCAATACATGTCATACTATAGCACAAGTGCTTGTCTATAATGTCATCTTTTGATCAAGTCTCCACAAGGTTAATTTACCTGATCTATTTGTGTGGTGTGGTATCACCAGATCTCAGCTCCCTTTCAAGTTCATCGAACTCCCAATCCCCTATCTCATTGGCCGAGTAGTCTTGGGCCTCTTGGCTACCATTCCCAAACTCAGACTCCAGCTGTGCTAATTCTGCTGCATGGTCTAGCAGCGGCTGTGCTTCAGGATTATCCTCTGTAGCTTCAGGTTTAGATTGTGTTGATTCCGGAGTTGTCTGTATATCCTCAATAGGAATATCAACCTTTGGAGTCTCTAATTCCAAAGTTGGCCGTTCAATAGCTTCAAATTCCGCTCTTAATTTGTCAAGGTCATTAAATAGCTCTTTAATCTTAGGATCATCTTTCCTGGATAGGAGATCGAAAAATGGGTTTAAAAACCTCATTCAAACGGAATCGTGAAAACACAATGATGGGAGTCCACATGAAAATTGGAAAGGATGTATTGGCATGCAAAATGTACATATCTAACCTTGAAAGTGTCTCGGACTTGTAAAGATGCTCTTTCATGCTATCCACCACACTGAAGGTAGTTATAATCTGAAAAAAAAAAAGGAATCAATAAACAATTGCCTCTACAACTGAGGGTTTGAACCATTGGAATTGGGCGGGGGACTAAAACGAGAAGGGCTTAAAACTAGTGGGAAAAAACATAAAGTAAGCAATACACAGTTTCATTTTTATTGTTCCAAAAAAAATCCCTCTAAAAGAAAATAAACGAGCCGGGGCTAAGTGTACCTTGGCTTCATAATCCAAATATTCCACCTCAAGATGTTTCCTCGGGTTCAATTCTTCGAAATCCCCATCACTTGGGTCAGATGAGTTCCCTGATCTGTCTTTTCAAAAATAAAGAATTAGAAATTGCAGTAAAAGTAAAAAGGCCAGAATTATTTATCTCAAAGTATACAGATTACTTTTCATTCAACTTCGTCAGGTTCTCTACAAATTTACTGATACGACTGATGGCAGGCTTCAGCTCTTTCTGCAAAAGAGTACAATGTTTCCAAGAACAATGCATGAGAGAAAGAGAGAAGGAACAAAGGTAAGACTTAACAACGATTTAAACTCACAAAGTATTTCCTTTGTCAGACCGCATTCAATACCTTGTAACCAGAGAGAAGAGTCTTGGCCAAGTTCACAAAATAATTCTCATGTTGCTCCAATTCCTCACTGGAAAATGCAAACAAGTATCAACAAAAAAGTTAAACAGAATCCAGTATTGCAAGTATTAAATTAATATAATTAAGAGCAGACTTCATACTATTTACTTTCTTCAAAGCAAAAGAATTTGAAAAACAGGTTCGACGGACGAGGATAATTAGACACGTAATCGTCCTATTCAACAGAACAAAAGAATGTTAGATTGCATACATGACTTGCTTGTTCTTAGTTTCTGAATATGCGGACTGGATAAGCCAAGTATCTTCCAAGAAATTAATCCATGTTTGGAGAACTTCAGCTTCTACTCTACAAGCAGAAATGGATTTTGAAAGTTCATCCTCCTGTTAACGTATCAGAAAGAATTCTTAGATATTTGAAGTCTGAACCATAAGGCAGGCCATAAAATTATCAAGATGGAGTAATTAATAAGCATTATAGCTTTATAAAACAGAAATTAGGGAAAACATACAGACACACACCTTCATTTTCAAAAGGGAAACGACCTCATTGTTAGCTTCATTAAATTGATCTCTTTCTTCCCGGACATCCCGTAGTCGTGCAGTAGCAGTAGCCAGCGAGATATTAACCTACACATGTTTCACTGAAATGTTAATGGGGCCGAATCCACCTTTTTACAGAAAAGGTAGTTAAAAACAGATAGAACGTTCAACAGCATGAACTGCAGGAGGTGTAAAACCTAAAGTTTTCCAAGATGCCTTGTTTTCATGGTTGTATGTTAATTTTTTTTTTAATAATTTCAAATAACACCCAATCATCACAAATCAAGTGGAGCCAATGATCATTAAAACAGATTTAAGCAACACAATGAAATAAATCATATCGAGAAATCATTCTTATATCTGTCATAGTAATTGATTTCCAAGCTTTAGTACTTCAATCACCTCCAAAAGTAAATAAGTATATAAAAGCTCTGCTTCAGTAAAGCATGCAGTCACCTCCAAAATCATGAATAAGTATAACCAAAAGAAAGAACAATTATAAAAGTAAAAATTGGGAACAATATGCTATACTTTTAGGTAATAAAAAACAAACATGCAAAATCATGCTGCAGATTTTCCAACATGTAAGAAACAACAACAAGAAACAGAATGCAGTAGAATAACCTTTTTCAGCTCTGCTTCAAGTTCATCTCTTTGTCTCTCAAGCATTGAAATCTCAGCTACTATTTCCTGGATATTGTTCATTAGAAGAAAATTTCACATTTCTCATCTAAAACATTTAAATACACCAAAAGTCACAGGCATATTTGTCCAGATCAGCATGGTTTTCATTGTTTCAATGAAAAGCTTGCAAAGTTTATGATGCTAATAAAAGTTTAGACAAAAATAAACAATAAACCTTAAAAATAATTAATTTTTTCTTTTCTTTTTTCACAGTTTATATTATTCTTTTGGTATATATGGACATACATTTGACATTAAATGCTTAGGCTACTGATGAGGGGAAATACTCAACCGCTATGGAATTTGAAAACAAAAAGATGATAAAACTAATTGAATTAGATAAAGAAAAGTGTTCTGGGATTTTCGAGCAACCAATTCTATTAAAATTCTCTTAATGATAATAATCACTTCCCTAATAGCCTCCAGCATAGTATTCATAATAAAATTCCCACTAATAGTCATATTTAATTAGATCTCTTACTAAAACACATAACTATTGAAAATAACACAAACGATAAACTTTAAAAAAAACTAACGTAAAAACTGATAACAGAAAGCTGATCCTAATAATAAAATAATTAAATAAAACTTGGAGGCTCTCCCCCATCCCACAAACCCACATCCTCAAGATGCAAAAATAAGGCCTACAAATTGAGTCTCATGTCCTAACCAATAACAATGTCCCCCGGGAGACTTTTTGAACAGCATATGAAGAAATCTAATAACATTATATCACTGCCATGCAGTACCATGAATCCATGATGCGTGAAATCAACTAATTCTTGGAATGCCAATTTTAGATGGATTCATCCCGTAAATAATTTGATATGTTCCATATTATACTTGCCACTTCATTAAGTCTTATTCTTAAAGGCACTAAATTGAAGATGTAGGATTAGGAAGTGTACAAAAGCCTTATTCTGACGATGATAAATTTTCCTTTTTATCTAGCCATAAAGAGAACACATCAGTGTAAGCATACAACCTTCTCTTTTCCTTCAGCTTCAGTTGCTTTGGCCACGCGAACAGATAGGGCCTCCTCCTTCTGTAATCTGCCAATAATAAAACCAATGACCAGTGTGAAGCAACTACTTTTTTCAAGTAAATATTTAGATAATTCTAAGCAGAATCGGTTATAAAGATATTCAGATTGCTTTATATCTTGCTTCAGTGCTGTCTTGAAGGATTTCATCCAAAATCCAGATATTATCTTAAGTATAAGTAGAAAAATTCCGGGCAAGCACCACAAGAAATCTCCAGAAACCCGATTAAAAACATTTTTGCCAATTAGAATGACCCAATGATAACCTTTTCCTCATTGATAATAAACAAGATAAACAAGAAGGAAATTGAGGTCAAAGGTCTTACATAGGACATAAGAAATATAAAATCACATCAAAGACTTCAGCAGACGTCCTTTAAAGTAACCATGAATTCTGGTCATCAGTAACACTTAAAAGAGTATTGATCCATGTTAACTTAACAATGTTTCATACTTCCTCAGAAGTTTTCAAATAGGAGATATCAAAAAATGGTCGCAGTAAATTTCACCATTTCGCACTGAAAATTTTCTTATAGTACCTAATGAGATAAAGGTTAAGAGAAAAAAGAATCAGCTGGGGCTGCACTAACCCTTTAATATAAAACAATGTATTAAGAGCTGTTAATTTTTATCAAAAGTAATTGCATTGATAAAATCAAATATTATTCAGAATGACACTAAATGTTTTTATCTAAAGTACCTGTGATCCAAAATTCGTTTCTCAGCTTTTGCACAAGAGCTGGCAAGAGATTCTGATAAGACCTTCAACTTATCAACCTGCTCAAATAAACAATATAAAGCACCAAATTTCAAACTGATGCCCTCAAGAATTGCTGCATTTGCGAAAACAGATGTTCATCTTTTAAATTTTTACTTTAATTGCAAAAAGGTAATAAATCCTAAATCAAACTTTAACAGAAAGCAGGTTGCTTATACATATTTCATGCTTATTAAAACAATATCAGGAAACAACCAAATATCAAGAAAATTCTACCTTTAGAGAATGAAGCTCAGGAGAGTCTCCATTGTTTAAAGACTTCTTTTTCATTAAAATCTTTTCCAATGTGGAACAGTTTCGTATAACTGCAAGTGCTTCTTTCAGAGCCTAACACAAAGATAAGGTGGTCAGCTTTCATATTTTCTTTCAGAGAGAAGTATTGCAAAGTTCAATCACAGTTTTAGCAGAAACATAGCCAAGGTAAAGATTACTGAATGTCAATAACCAGTGGGTAAATCAAAACCATGAGTAGCTTCAGAAAATCAAAACTTTTCCATTTATCTTTTTTTTTTTTTGGGGGGGGGGGGTGGAATAGGCCTTGTCAACTTGATGTCAAACCGTCAACAACAGCCTATTTAATTAGATATCATAAAGGGCTCTATTTGCATCAAATGTGTTGACATATTTGAACTTGTATTTTACTCTATATGTTATGGAACTTAGAAAACCTATAAAATTTTCTTATCTCGTCCAGGACAGCTGGTTTTTTATTTCTTATATATGAATTATCAAGATGCACCAAATTGAGAGAGCTAATCAGATTTTGCAATCCATGTACAGTAATTTCTACCAATGATAAGAATATCATCATTCAGTAACCTACACACAGTTAAAGTGATTTGACAAGGACAGAAGAAACATAAAAGGAAGAGAAGGGAGGAGAAAGAAGAGGACCATCAAGGAAACACCCAGAACGTGCCATTTTGTGGCAAAGGAAAAAGCAAATAACATTTAGTTTGGTAAGAAATCCCAGTGTTTTTACATTCTTTTGCAACTTTATCAATTCTTGAAGGACCATATGCATGACCAACCATGAAGCAAAAGGAAATAGTTAGCATCAAACAATTGCAAGATTAATGAACAAAATGGAGCAGTATAATGTTCTACCGGCAATTTGATTCGTGTAGATTAAAAGCTTAACAGGAGTCTCAGAAATTGTTTCCCTGACGTTATACTAGATTCTTTACTCAGCAACAGCATACAACACATTATAGATTCCAAAGTACCACAAAAGGACAAGCAAAGTTTACCATAACTCAAATCAAGCTCACTGCTCACCTCAATAGTCACTTTAGTAGCACTGTCAGATGCATTATCGTGACCTTCTAGCGTGCTCAGCTTACTGAGTTTTTTCTTCAAATCAGAAGCTTCACTATCCGTTCTGACACAGGAGATAAAAGAAGAAATGTTGTTTCAGCACGTCTCCCAATCAAGCACCTCAGACATCAAAATCCTAAAAATTTCAGGCAAACATGGTGGCTACAGAACAGCATGAACCAAAAAATATGACATTCCTGATTTATTAAAATGGAAAGAGCTAGTAGATTTCTGCTACATTTGGATGCAAACATGACACATGCAAAATATGATCAAAAGTAAATTTAATTCACGCCTAACAAAAATATCCTAGCTAGATATTAGAAGTTGAAACCCATTTTAAGAGGAAAAGTACAACATATGTGCAATTAGGAAAGAAAATTTCAATTAGATACTGCCAAAAGCTATGTTACTCAGAATCGGGAGTGAATCTCGGATACAGGTACTACCTGACACAGGTATGTTCTATCCTTTCAAAAATATATATATAATTGGAGAATGATTCCTCCATGCCCAGATCCAAATTGATGTTCGATATGAGTGTCAGACATGGGTATTTCAGGAAAAATGAAGAGCCAAAGTAACATTGGCCCAAAATAGATAAGAATTTGGCATTTTCAGAAACATGAATTAAGAACCCAAAGACAAAGTAGAGACAACATGAGAGTAAATAAAGTGTATACATTATAATACAGGCTGAAGGAGAGGAAATGGAAGCACTCTGTTTTGAACTACCTTAAATGATCTCTTATCAAAAAAACTACCTTAAATGATCTGCATCGATTTTCAACCCTGTTATGGCACTTTGAACAAATTGTAGCAGTTCCTCCCGCTTCACCTATAAATTACAATGTTCAATAGGGGGGAAAGAAATATGCTAAATTTTGAGCCTTTCTAAATTACATTCTGAATGTAGCATAGGTTGAACAAGTTACCAGCACTTCATCTTGGTAGCTAGAAAAGGCAGAAGCTAGATCCTGTAAACTGCTGACTACAGCATTGTGAACTTCTTTTCCTCCAGTGAGGCAGTGCCTGCAGGTATTATTATTTAATTAAACAAAAGTTCCAAAATTCAATTTAATTTTCATGCTAAATGTTCATAACAATAAATTATTTGTCTTGCTTAACCAAACAAAACCTACAAGAAGGTGCAGAAACTGAAACCGTTCTACATATGTTAGAAACAGTTGATCGAAAAACCCCAATGCTGTCCCTCCAGTTTATAATAAACCAATAGTCCTAAAGTAAGAGGACTTACTGAAACATCCACTGGAGCAGAGAAATCTCTTCCTCATTTGGAGCTTCAATAATCTGAATCATAGAAAAGAGTTAACCTGCATTAACCTCAATGACCAGGTACTCCAAAAACATAAAAGTGCCATAAAAAGGTTGCATGCTTTTTAAAAAAAAAATAAGTTTTTTCAGTCATAATGTTAACTTGTTAAAGTTGGTCTACCAAATCCCGACTTTGATCAGATGAAAATTGTAGAAAATCAAACTTACAAGATTACATGAAGACATCCAAGATACTCCAGCAGAAAGGGTAACATGTTTATGAACAACTTAAATGTACTTAAATTAGATAAAAACACAACAAACTACTAGCTTCCTGATGATCTTCTTTGAAAATTGTTGAAGCAATAAAATCTCTACCTAATGATATTTACCTAAATAATGGAACCATTACATGCTGCCATATTGAGGTCGGTAAATGTGATCTATAAAGTTCTCGTTTGTGTCATATTTCAAAATGTCTCCTCACTTTCACTAACCCAATTAATCTAGTCAATAATAGACTATTTTGATAGCATAAGGAATGAAAGGTATTGAAGCAGCTTCACAAATTACCACATTTGATAGGAACTAATGATCTTAGAGAATATTTAAAGAGTAAGGTTCTGGTTTCTGCATGGAACTTTAGACTAGGGCAATTTCCAGTAAAGTTGTTATAAGCCTTTTAAAGTGCAGGAGCTACATTCATTTATTTTCATTTGGAAAACCATTATTCAGTAATCAATGAAAATGTCAAAAACTTCCCCAGGTCCATGATAAAATATTTTCTTTTTTATTTTATTTGAATGATCTATCATGATTATTTATCATTTTTCCAGTACAAGATTTAAATCCAGAATGATCATACAAGAAATATTGACTTTTCCAAACCCTCGTCTAATGCCTAATCCTCTATAAAATTAGTCAATATCTATGCTAGCAAAGCTGGAAATAAAATTTTAAAAAGGTATATGATATATTCACGATTCTACAATATCTTAACAAATCATGATTGAAAAGAAAATATGAATAAATGACCAAGCTATCAATCGTACCATAGATATTGTTATGAACTCTAAAGCCTGGCTTTGAAGGAAAACCTCTCGAAAATTCATTGGTGCACCCCCAATATCAGCGTCATAATACAAATCCTATCAATCATTAAAATAAATCAAAAGAGAAAGTCATGATGCAAGAAACTTATTTCAAATGTAGAATTATTTTAGCACTCCAACCTATTCCAGGCACACAACACATTAGTTTCAAAATCCAACAAATAATAATGCACTTCAAAGGAAATATAAGGATACAACAGTAAGGTATACTAAACTATTGAACCTAAATCATGAAAGAAACACAATAGATAATTTGATGTCAGACTAATAGGAAAAAATGGGCCTACCTATCTATCCTCTTGCTGAGCTGATATTTACGAAGACATATCATTTACAACTCAATAAGTAAAACAAGGCATAAGCAGGCAGCACCTAAGCCACAGCATTCAATTTGGTTTTTGTCAACAAAAGGAATAGCTCACCACTGATGGCTTCTGTGGGTTCTCCTTTGCTTCATCGGAAGCAAGAATTTGCCCGTCGCTCTTTTCGCTGCCTTCAGATGAAACTTCAGATTTCTCAATTTCCTTGAGTGCAGCCAACCATCTTCTCATCAGCATAGCTCTCTCAGGACCCCTACAAGAGATTGCTGCTTCCTCCAATATTTTCACAGTTTGCCTTAAACTCTTGAAACTGCGAGACCCCTGCGTAAGTATGCAACTTTAGCAGGTCCAATAGCAATATCATAAGATATCACAACAGTAAAAAGAATTTCTGAAAGTAAACAAGGGGAAAAAACTAACTAGTAGTGCATTAAATCAAGTGAGAAATGCTAGCTGGCTTTAATATGATAACCGACTAGATCATAAAGCTATTAGTTAATACCAGTTTACCACATTACAAGTCAGATTTGACATTAGATAAAAAAATTCTTCTTAGGACCATTACTTGAAAGAGAAATTGCCAAATCCAAATAAAATGAAACAAAAAATACATTAATATGTGTAAATAGAAGCAGAAAGTGTATAGAAAAGAAGAATCCATTCCGCCACACATTTCTGGAATTCTAGTTCAATTTTAAATCGCATTTTGTTGAATTTGAAAAAAAATGATTTTTTTATTATTATTACAGACATTTCATTATCTTCTAATTTAAAACAACAAAAAACCAAACAATTGAAAACCAAAATGTAAACACAAAAAAACAATATATCGCAATTTAATGATAAATTGATAACAAATCATTTCCCGCAAAATGTTTATTCTAAATTTTCAAATTAAGGGAAAATGTCAACATTCAAACTTTCAAACTAATAAGCATTCAGCCTGAAATTGCGACATACACGCCTCAACATGCAAGCACATGATATTTAAAAATGAAGAGGAAAAAAGAGAAGCAAATTACAATGCGATCTTGAAAGAGCTTGGCTCCTTCGGCGACAGCTTGGCCAGCATGATGGACAACGGTATCGGCATAGTTTTTGAGGTTCCGCGTGATGTTACTGGTGTTCCCAGCCTCCACCGCTTTGTTCACAGCCGTTCTCAGCCACGACATTTCGTTTCTTTTCTCCGGTCAATGCAATTAGGGTTAAGTAAATTAGTTAGAGGGAAATTTAGGGTTTTGGAGCTTAAATGAGACATAAATGGGAGAAATGTTCCTTCAATATCGATTGTATATTTGTTCGGATGACGAAGAAAACGAAAACGACGGCGTTTGGTAGAATGATGTGACGTTGTCTGACCCCACACGTGCTCCGTCTTCTTAAAAGTATGTTAGAATTTTTCTTAGGATAAACTACAAAAATTATCACTCAACTTTCTCCTTACTTCTATTTTGGTCACTAAAATCTTAAAAAAAATTAATTTAATAACTGAATTTTATACATTAAATTTTTTTTAACACTCATCGGTTAATTCACTCACAGTGTGATGATATGGTATTTTAAATTGAGCTTTCCCAACTTTGTACTTCATATATTTTTTTTCCTTCTTTGATGGTAGGTGTCTCTTCTTCCCATAGTCCACATTACTTGTGCATTTGTGCACTTCTTCTTGGTTTGCATGGAACCTACTTCGAGATCTTGAAGATTGTCATCTATCTCGATCATCATCATCACAATCTAGGTCACACCCACGATCGGTTTTCTCTGTAACTGTCTTTCTCTTCCGTGTAATGTTGTTATCTATACTCCCTCTGAGACTTGTCTAATTCTCGTTCTTTCTCATTATGATGCCTTCTCTCTGAGTTTGTCAATGTTAATGTTGATTATTGTAAACCAGAGGAACAATCAATTATTAACATACCAGAGATAGAATCTAAAAGTTATCCATTTGGATCTATCAATTCACAAGACAGTGATGTTACGAAAATAAACTTTGATACTCAAATAAAAGAAGTGTGATTTTTCATAGATTAATTTTAGGGTTTTCGAAATTTTAAGCATGTCCTTTTGGTATGCCTTAAAAGATTTAACAACCCTGCTAAATCTCTAAATTCAAGGGTTGGTGATCCTTTAAGGAGTTTTTTTTCCTTTCAAATTTGACCTAATCAAATGGATATGACTGTAAATAATCATATGATGAAAAACGCGAAGGATATTAAGTTATTTGATGAGAAGTATTGTTAGTAATAATAAAAATGAATCCACTGATAATATTCTGGCCATTATAGACATCAATGACAATGTAAGAAAGGTTAATACTCATTTTTCTCATGCCTTTAAAATTTGCGGGGAGAATTCTCTCCTCTGTAATTCAAAATTTTAAAATATCAAAGTTATATAATTTTTCTATATAAAATCTGTGGATATGCAATCATTAAATAAATCACTTCAAGATTTGCTTGATGTGATTCAAGTATGAAAGCATATCGGAGTATTATAGTAGTATTATATACTGTGTTAATTTGATGAGTGAGTGCAAATAGGGTTACGTGTCGGTTTAAAACGGTTAAGGTCGTGAGTGATCTGACAGAGATGTTTAGCCTTTGCGAATAAAAAATTATTTTATTAGGGCAAAATTGCCCAAATAATCCATTTGGGTATCTTTAATTCCAAATGGATTATTTGGGCAATTTTGCCGTGGGATTTGATAGTGGGTAGTAGGGGTGTAAACGAGTCGAGTCGAGTTCGAGTATTGCTGAACTTGACTCGATCCGAAAACTCTAAAATGGAGCTCGAATCGACTCAAAAACTCGCGAGCTTAAAATTTTCAAGCTCGACTCGAACTCGAAATCCTGAACTGAAGCTCGTGAGCAGCTCGAAAAGGCTCGAAATGAAAAAAAAATTCGTAAACTTAACTCGATTAAAGCATCAAACTCGAATATGAACCTTAAATACATGAAATCTTATTGTATTTAAAAAAAAATCAATACATAAATATTAATATTATTATTAATTTTTTTAAAAAATAAAATCTTAATATATTATATTTTCGAGCTGCTCACAAGCTTTTCGAGTCGAATATCGAGTAGCTCGTTTCAGCTCGTTAAGAACTCGAGTCGAGCTCGAGTCGAGTCCATTCGATCCGAGTATTTATCGAGCCTTGATCGAGTCGATCTCAAATAGCTCGCGATCTGTCTCGTCTCATTTACAGCTCTAGTGGGTAGAGATTTTAATGGGTTTGGGTCCATCGATTGAACTGTACAAAAACCCGACCCGCTTGAGAATATCTCTCTATCAGAAAACACTTATAATTAGGTTGTAAATTACTGAAAAATGGCTATGAATTTATTTTGAAATTCATAATTTTTAAAATAATGTAATTATACTTATTAAAACCCCCCCATAAAATCATTAAAATAAAAAAAATATAAAAGTATCGAAAATCCTAAAGACTGAGTTTTTTTTCAGAATTTTGTTATTTTTCCAATATTCTAGAGATTTTCATACAATTTTATGATTTTTTTTACATTTTAAAAAAATTAATTAAACATAATTATATTTTTAAAAATTAAGATTTGAAAAAATAAATCCATTTTAAGTTTTTTCTGTTACCATGTTTTAAATTTTATTTAGAAAAAATATTTTTCTAAAAAACCTATTTTATAATTTGAGAAATATGAACATCGAGTATCTATAACCAACATGATAAGTTACTCATGTATGGATCACAAATACTGGAAAGGAATTTTGTTCTTTGTCAAGACATTGCTATCCTTCTTGTTACTAGAGAAACAAGATAACTCCTCTCCTACAACAATATTCCATATCAAATTAATAATATTTTGTCCTCGGACATGTAATTTTTACCATTATTTTTCTCAGCCATTTCCTTGAGAGCCTACCACACAAGACAAGGAAACAAAAGATTTAACCAATGTTGGAAAAACGAACCGGATATCAAACCGACCAGACCTCCGGTTTGATGATAAAGCCCAATCGGTTTGATCAAATTAGCTTCGAATACATGAAAAGTAGTTTGAATGTGAAACAAAAATTTTAAGGAAAGTCTAAGGTACAATAGCTTAATTTAAGGTTAAGGAATGATGAAAAATGGATATAATCGAAATTGTGATAAAAAAATAACATTTTCGATTGGACGTAATTTAAAATGTTAATTTTTTTTCTTAATATTTTTAGTTGAATCGAAAAATTTTACATTTTCCATAGTATTTTCGGTTGTTGGCAATGAAAAATATTACATTTTTCTAAATATTTTATGTTGCGCTCATTTCCTATTATTCCTTAGCCTTAAATAAGGCGGTTGTACATCAGAACTTCCCATTGGTTCAACGATTGAAATTAGTGTTGCACAACATGAACCACCAATTCTGTGTTCAATTGATCAAACTGGTCTGTCTACTATTTTTCTAGAGTAAATTATATGAATGATCTCTTATATTTTTGATCTATTTAATTTTGGTCATCGATTTAAAAAAGAGTGGTTTTGATTCCTTATATTATCTTTTCGTTCGGTTTTAAACTCTCATCCTTTACTCCCATTAATTCATTAAGATAAAACTGAGTCGATAATAAAAAAATAAAAAATGTATCTTTTTCTCATTTTCTTCTTCTTGAGATGAATAAACTGATGAGTTTTGTTCTCTTCTAAGTGTTCTAGTCACGCCACTTTTAATAGTCGTATTGGCTAAGAGTGGAAGAAGAAAAAGTAATTTTTTTTAATTATCAACTCAAACTTATGTCGTTGGGTTAGCAGGAGTTAACGACTATGAGAAAATCGATCCAATTGATAACATAAGGAATCAAAACCGCTTTTTTAACCGGTGGCCAAAATCAAATAGATCGGAAAATATAAAGTACCAAAACCTCGTGAATAATTTAAAAAATAAAATATTAAAATTTTATTTTTTAAAATTTAATTATCAATAACATTAATATAAAATGCATTATATGTTGTATTTTTTATATATAAAAATCCAATATAAAAATTTTATATACTTAAGGTTCAAGTTCGAGTTTGAATTTGAATCGAGGTCAAGCTCGAGCTTCAATGAAGTTATGTTAAAGAATGTTTCGAGTCTAAGGTTTTTAAGTTCGAGTTAAACTTTATTTTTTGACTTTAAATTCGAGTCAAACTTAATAAATTTAAATTTATAAGCTTTCAAATTGAGTCGAACTCAACAATGCTCAAACTTTTAACTTGTCTTATTTAGAGCTGTAATAGCAAACACACTTTGAATGATGTTGCTTCAGCAACCGCATTGCTAACTTCTGAAAGTTTTCCCACGACAACAGATCCTCCTTGGTGTGGTCATTTTCATAATCAGGACGGATGCACTTGTCTTGCTTTTGCCACCGACTTTCACTTTGTCCTTTGATAATTCTGTTTAAAACCCTCAAATCACGGGGGATTTTTTTTTTCAATTTTCGAATTTGAATTTTCCCGATAAAAGAATTACACCGTATCACTCATTTAATGGTAAGTAATTAAATGCAAAGATTTAATCTTTTCTTCTTTATGTTTTGGGTTTATGAACTTATTGTATTGCATTTAGTTTAAATTGTGTGTACTTTGGGATTTTTCCGCTGTTTGATTTTTGTTGTTGTTGGGGAATTTTGTGAGTGTCTCTGTTTATGAACTTATGTTTGGTTGCTGAGAAAGTTAAAGCAAAGTGGAAAATAACATTGTGACCGGTTGCTTTTCTCGTGATCCGTTTCTTAAGTTCAAATCTTTTTTCTTCTGATTTTCTTGTAAGTCAATTCCCAAAAGATTGCATTCAATTTTATTCTTTTATACTTAGTATTTACTCCCTTTTTTCTCACTTCATCCATAATAAAAATATAAAATTGATTTGTTGAACGTCTTGATATTCTTCTATTTTTATCAGAATTGTAGGAAATTATGTTGTTTTCTTTATTCCTTCTAAAGGGTGAATAGGGTTTTTAAGGACCTTAAAATGGTGAATCGGGTAATTGGTCTTTTTGGTAACTTTACCTAGATGGAGCTTGGTGGTGTTGGTGAATTAGATAATTTTAGATTGAATCTCAAGCTCAGCTCTGACAAATCATCTGTTTTATAAAAAATATTTCTGTTTGTTTAATGTTAAAAATGGGAAACAAGCTTTTGCAAGCTATGAAAGTTGCAGAAATTATAAAAATAAAGCTATATGTATATACATATATATATTCATTTTATGGTCTTATTGATTTATATATAAATATGGTGTATAAACCCTAGCTCTTTTGTTAAAGTTATTGTAACTGTTTGCAGGTTCTTCTTCCTTTCTTCCTCTTTTGTCTGTGAATCTTAATTACTAACTTTTGCTTTGTAAGTTCTATTTTGGTTCTTTCTATATTGAACACCTTTGTTCTAAGGCAAATCAGATAGTCCAAGATTCTTATGTGCTTTAGTTTTCCATACATTTACAGTATCATACTTTAATCTCAAGTCCAAAAATGAGTTTGAGTAACATAACCTTGTTTCGGCATTTTATCTATCTATATCTCCGTCTTGCTTTGCTTTTCAAACTAAATGAATTGTAAAGCCGGGTTCCATCTTCATGGTTTTTAGCATTTTAAGATTGTCATAGAATAACCAGAGAGCATACTCCTCTGTCTCAGATGCCTTTTTATTTCATGATTGGTATCTCAATGTTGCATATGCTTTCTTTTCTTTCTATCTGATTTATAAATTCCAATACTGAACTTCATATGAGTGTGTGCACTTGTTTTCTTAGCCAAGATTTATTTCTATGGTATTTGCTTTATAGATTGTCCCCACATTCTCTGATGATTTTGATGATGTTTGTGTGTGTTTGATGTCCTTTTTTTAAAAAAATTAACTTTTATGGTTTATGTATCATATCTCCAGGTTCTTTGAGTCCCCATTATTTCAAAGGTTGTTATAAAAAGAACTCGGATTTCGTAGCAGAATATTTTGTGAGATAAAATTAATTGTTCTTGTTGATGATATATAGAGATGAAGAAGCTGTTTTCCTTCAAATCCTCCTCTAGCAGTGGTAACGGTAACGCCGTCGTTCCTTCACCGTCAGCCGACAAGCAAGTTTTCTGGGAAAACACATTGGAAAGTGGTTTCAATGATCTACTCGGTGACAAGGTTCAATACAGTTTTCTCAGTCCGAAACGTTTCTTTGGAAAATCTCAAAAGCAAATACCGGACAGCCCTAGCTTTAGCAACAGCTCAGCGGGTCTTCGAAGGAGTCGTTCTTTGTCATCAGCAGCCTTTCTTGTTGATGGTTCGGGACAAGATGTTCCTTCCTCATATGATCAAAATAGGTCTCCTAATATTACTCCAAATCAACAGTATGATCAATCATCTCGGTAAGGAATTTCTGCATTTGACGTGTTTGCTCGTTTACAGTGTGTAAAAAGGATTGATTAGACCTCATTTTTTTACTTGTATAAATCTAAAGGTACACCAACCTTGTTCTTGTGGTTTATTCCAGGCGAAGAACTCTGACCCCTGAAAAAAAATCTAAGGCTAAAAGATGTGAAGTGGTAGCTAATGGTTTTGAGAGGCCCGGTCCTTCTAGTTCTTCAAGGATATGCCGTGATTCATCGGGAAGCTCTTCCTCTTGCTCTAGCAATATGTCGAGTAAAGTTGTGGACCGGTATATTGATGGAGAACAGCTGCAGGAAAGCAGTAAGTCCAAGAGCGATTTGAAAATAAATAATCTCCGAAATGGTGGTGGGAGGCTTCCTCCACAAGTTCAATATACAGATCCTCCGTCTCCAACAGATAGTGTCAATGAGAAAAACAAGTTTAATTCATGTAGGGAAGCTAAAGGCACACGTCTTCAGTTCTCGTCTAGAGACTGGACGGAAAACGGATTCGGACATGAGTCACCTCGAATGATTGCAAAGAATGTGATTGAGAGACTTTCACAGACTCATATCCCAAGATCAAGTTCAAAGGAATTTGATCTTCATATTCCGATCACCACTGAAGATGTATATGGTGGATACTTGCATAGGTGCCCGGAGTCCAAATCGGATGTGTTGGCCCAAAATGGTTGTGCAATGGACGAGCCTTATGACAACGATATTGGATATGGTGAGGATTTCTCTGGCTTGGAGAAGCAATATTGTTTCTTTGGGGGAAATTATAATGGTTTGAACTCTTCAGAAACTGAAAAGGAAACAGATTTGGAGTTGCAAAGAAGATCTAAAGAAGCTGGGGAGAGAGTTTTGCTTCTTTCTGAAGCTCTTGAGCAGGAAAGCTTCCTTCGTAACATTGGTTTTAATGTTTCGTCTCTCGTTGAGACCATTAGACGCCTTTCAGAGGAAAAAATAAACCTGGCACTTGAGGTTTCAGAACTTCTGCAGTCTAGAATTGCAGAGAGAGATCGTGCTAGGGAAGAAATGAGAATGGCAAGGGCCGAACTTGGGTCGAAGACAAAAAAACTAGAGACGGAGAAACACGAGATGCAGTTGGGATTGAAAAAGGAATTGGATAGAAGGTCAAGCGATTGGTTGTCTAAGCTTGAGAAGTATAGGTTAGAAGAGCAAAGGCTTCGCGATCGAGTTAGAGAGCTTGCGGAGCAAAATGTTTCTCTTCAGAGAGAAGTTTCTTCCTTGAATGAAAAGGAAACAGAAAACAAAAGCATGATGACTTATTCCGTAGAACAACTTAAAGAGTTGACTAGACGGGTCGAAACATTGAATGATAAGAATGAAGATCTAAGGCAAAATCTCTCCCAACTGCAAGAGAAGCATCAAGCAGCAATACAAGAAACAGATTGCATTAGAAGAAATTTTGAAGAGAAAAATACAGAGTGCAAGGAGTTGCAGAAGTCCATTTCCAGATTATTTCGAACCTGTAGTGAGCAAGAGAAAACAATTGAAGGGTTGCAAGAAGGATATGGTCAGGAGATCGAGAAGAAGCATTCCATGAAAAAGAATGAAAATCGGACGAAAATTTTGCAAATGGAGCAAATGAGGTTGATTGGAGTAGAATTGGCCTTAAGAAGGGAAGTGGAGTCTTGTAGGCATGAAGTTGATTCTCTTCGACATGAGAATATCGATTTACTGAACCGCCTAAAAGGTAATAGAAAAGACGTTGGAGCCTTAACCATCAAGCTTGACAAGGAAATGTGGAATCGTGTCAGCTGCTTGCAGGACCAAGGACTGTCTATGCTTAATGATAGCACCCATTTGTCTTCCAAGTTAATCAAGTTCATCAAAGTAAAAGCTAGTCAGCTTCAAGAAACTCAGCAGGGTCTAGATGGTCAATTTATCGTTGAATCCGATATAAAGGTGCAATGCTTTAAACGTGGAATTGAAAGCCTAGCAAGGAGTTTGCAGACAATATCCACTTTGCTGCAAGAGAAATCCACTCCAGTTGCCTCAGAAGCCCGGTTGGAATCTATGAAACCCGACTATCAATATTCTGAGGTAAGTATTTGCTGAAATCTAAAGTTAAAGCTAGTATATATTTCATTTTTCATTGCTCATTACCTTTTAAAGTATGTTCATTCATTAAACTTGTTCTTACTTTTCAAATGTGGCTGCTTCTGTGACACTGTACACTTGTTAGGAGGTTCTAAGAACAGAGTTGAAATCAGAAACATTGCTGACAAATTTGTTGAGAGAAAAGCTATATTCAAAAGAGCTTGAAGTCGAACGGTTGCAAGCCGAGGTGGGAGCAGCTGTAAGGGGTAACGACATCCTTAGATGTGAAGTACAAAATGCAATGGACAACATTTCCTGCCTCACCCACAGATTGAAGGATCTTGAACTGCAGGTAACTTTTGATCTTTAAATGTTACATGTTTTCCTTATGTGCGTACAAAATCTTTCTTCTTATCTTGCTTTTGAATAGCATGTATGAACGAAATTGTTATAAAGAAGACAAAAACTGCAGTTGGGAGAAATCGAATTATTTTTGTGACAAGTGAAGGGCACCGTATCTTAGAGTTTGATTTAAGTTCATACATGTAGTTGCTTGATGTTTTGTGGTATGCTGCAGATTCTTTGTTTCTGATATTCTGGAGTCCGAACCTGTACCATATCTTTGTTCACTTAATTGTTGTCACCATTTTGCTGTTGACCTACCCTTCACAATAAGACACCCTTCTGAAAGCTTATAGAACGTATTTGGCTAATTATTTGGTTTCGATATGAACAGATACTAAAGAAAGACGATAACATAAGCCGTCTTCAGAATGATTTGCAAGAATCAATGAAGGAACTAAAGATCTTGAGGGGGATACTGCCTAAGGTTTCCGAAGAAAGAGATTTGATGTGGGAAGAGGTGAAGCAATATAGTGAGAAGAACATGCTATTAAACTCAGAGGTTGAAGTATTGAAAAAGAAAATAGAAACTTTGGATGAGGATGTACTTTTAAAGGAAGGCCAAATTACGATATTGAAAGACACCTTAAGCAACAACAAAACTTTTAACCTTCTCGGCAGTCCAGATTTGACTCGAGAATTCCTCCTGGAATGATCAGCCGAAAGGCAGGTGGCTGAACATATTGTTTCGTAGGTTTATATAGACTTTATCCTTTTAAATTTGTTTTGTTGAGGTTGCTTTTTTTTTCTCTGTCTTGGGTGAGGAAAGAAGTGAAAATAGGACACAGTTTGATTCTTTGTTATAGATTGAAAGTCGTACAAATTGTATTTAGTTGGTTTTCATCTCGTAAAACCAGATGAAATTTTAATCCTTTTTATTATATGTTTGGGAATTGAAAATTGTTATCATTGAAACAAAAGAATTGTCTGGCTCTTTTCTTGAGTTCCTAGCAAGGTCGACCTGTTACGACTGTATTACCAGTTGGACAAGCCGGTCTAATTAAGATAATTTTACTTTCGTTCTTCTTTGTTGTAAGGTCATGCCAGCATGTAATTCATATGATAAAACCAGATGACATATTTTTAATTTTCCAGTAACTGGTTTTGTCAAATTGTTGTCATCCTTGTGTATACGGACGGTTGAAAAACAGAATCCGAGATCAAACTGTTAAAGACCATTGATTACCGGTTGAAACAACCAGATCGGTTTCATAATACTTGTGTTCTTTATCACATGTTTATTACATAAAAGAATCCCCATGATATAGTGCCAAAAGAAAAGTATAAGAAAGAGAGTTCAAGAAGAATCCTTTGAAACCATGGAGAAATCATTGAAGACATTAATGAACTAACATGCCTTCCTTTGAGTGCATTAGGGATTTGAAGTGGCTTTGACTTACATGTGAACCATAACAAAAGGCGATCATCTTCGATAATCATAAGGGTGTTGTAGGTCTCCAGAAGTCAAATGGTTTCCGATGCTGAAAAATAACGGTAAAATGGAATAATGAGATACAACTTTTGCAATTGGCATTTGATGTCTAAGGAACCTTAAAAGAAATAGTTAGGAATTAACCTTTGCAATTGGCATATTTCCCCTCACTGAATCTATCAATGAGAAATCAATGTCAGCTACAGTGATCCCAGTCGATAATTGATCTGAAAAAAAAAATAATGTCACTTAAATTGCCATCACAAACTCATTTTGGACACATAATTGTATCCAGCAATCACACCTGAGTCCAAGTAACATAAGAAATAATCACATGAAATTCAATTACCAAAAGGGAAACTCCATCTAACCTGGTAACCGGCCAACTACAGTGCCCCATGGATCGATTATTAGTGTCTCACCATAGCTTTCTCTTTTCTCGCTGTGCTTTCCAGCTTGAGCAGAAGCAATGACCTAATAATGATTTTTTTTTTTGTCATTCTCAAAAAGGAAGAAGCATATAACAAGACGTGATAAAAGATTGGAAGAATGAACTAAATTTATCATTATAGAGAAAAAGATTTAAGTAAAAGTGCGGTGGAAAATGGAAATGGATTCAGTACGTAGCACTGAGTCTCAATCGCACGAGCACGAAGGAGGACCTCCCAATGTGCCTGACCAGTAACTGGGGTGAAAGCTGAAGGTACCAATATGACCTACAAAACATATTACACGAAGAAAATTTTACAACACTGATAAAAGTGATCAACGGGAAGGTGTAGACTGTGGAGGTCTGATCCCACCTGTGCGTCGTGATGGAACCGTAAATGCTGGTAAAGTTCTGGGAATCTCAAGTCATAGCAGACCGTCAATCCCAAACGTCCAACAGGACTGTCTACTGCAGCAATATCCTTCCCTGGAAGCATGCTAGTACTGATTAGATAGAGCTCTAAAATAGCCTTCTCTTGCAAACCAAAATGGCTTGTTCTATCGAAAATGCAGGAACATGCTATTCTAGTATTTTAAGCAAAACCATTGGTCTACTCTTTCAGAGGATTCAAAAGATATCAAAAGACAAACTGATTGAATCACTTAAACATTCATCAGGACTTAGAACCATAGCAAGAGTCATGAAATATAAAATCAGACTGGACCAATAATGTATACCAATATGAGAAATTCACCTGGTTCAGTAAAGCTGCTTTCCTTGTACACTGCTCCTCCAGGAACATCCACATCAAACCTTCCAATATACCGAGAACATGATGTCAATAAACCCAGATTAACAAGATAACAGGAGAAATATGTTATATCATATTAAGAAACTCCAATTTATATATCACATATATATACACCCACACACACAGATGAGGTTAATTTGGAATAATGTTAATCTGTTATACTTATTTCAATAGCCAACGAATTACAGAAGCCTTTCTAACTCGGTAAGTTTTATAATACGTCTAGTTGAAAAGGAAAGAAAAAACGCAGTATCTCAGAGAAATATAAGCATCTTACAAGTGTATCTTACTATAAGTGCTTCTAATGTTGCCAGCATCATCAATTATAACATGTGTGTTTCGCAGGCGTGCATCATCAGGTCCTTTCTCTTGGAAACCTCCTAGGGACAACCAAATGCCACATTCTCTGCATTCATGTCAACTAAATCAATCACGACGACTCAAAATTATCTATTATGCGCAGATAATCAATACTAAAACACAACCAAAGTTAAGAAAAACGGGGTTTTTAATGAGGCCCAATTTTCTATAAAAAAAAAAACACAACCAAAGTCGTTCAATGTAATTAAAGAAGAAGTTAAGAAGGATCCAATTGACAATAATGATTCATTGTTTTTCCCCTTCTCTTAAAGAAGCAATACATGTAATCAAAAGTAATCAGTAAGCAAGCAGTAACAGATTATGAATATTTCTCAAACTCGAATGCGAGCGTCTGATACAAGTATGTCTCTGAGTTTTTAAACGGGTATGTTTAATTTTTCGGCATTTTTTCATGCATTGGGAAGACTTTTGGAAGGTTAAATCCCAATACTCATGTCCGATATGGATACTTCAAGAATAACAAAGAATTCAAGCAACATAGCTATTTTGCCATACTTTTCATTTTTCCTAAAATACATGTGTTATACACATTCAAATGTGGTATAAAGGTATGATTCTCCAAATATATATTTCTTGAAAGATGAGTAAATTGATGCAGGTCAGATACACATATTTGGTAGGCACTCCGAGTCGGTGAGTCCACGTTCGAAAAGGCAAAAGCTAAACATTGTGAAAAGAAATGCAGCATATACATTAAAAACAAACCAAGAGATAATTAGAGCAATCAAAGATAGTACCTTGCTAAAGAGCAGTATTTTTGCATGATTGGTCCATCTAAAGGTTCTGCAATCAAAAGACTATCCCCAGACTTTTGACCCATATAGGAGAAATTTTCAGGCAAACAAATCATTTTTGCCCCAGCTGAAACCGCTTCCTTCAGAATTAAACAAACCAAGAATATAACTAAGCCCAATAATATATATGAAAACACCAAAACCCTATTACATTTTCCGAAAACGTGCATAAAGTAAAATGCAATTATCAAAGACTAAATTCATGTAATATGAGCAAACTAATGCTAATTTTCCCAACTTCAAATTCTTCAAAGATAATGTTCGCTACAATCTAAAATCACATTTTCTTAAAATGATCAAATATCTAGTAATATATATAAAAGGAATAAGCTTTGATCTATACGAAGGAAATTGCAAAATAATTACAATTTTCATACAGATGATTCAAATTAATGATACTAAAAAAAGGAAGAATTGTGAATATTATCTTTACTTTGACGAGGCGAGAACAAGTGGAGAAATTGGAGGCGATATCGTTGATGGAGGTCATCTGAGCGGCGGCGACTCGGACTGAGTTGGGTGCTGCTGCCATGGCTGACTCGGCGCTTGACCGTGCCGTCGAGGAGTTTGCGTAAGCGTTGACTTGGCTTGATCTGATCGGGCGATGAAGAAAAGCGCCGCAGAGACTACAATTTAGCAGCATAGATTTTGTGAACGATGGGGTTAAAATGATAAAGCATGTGGTTCATAATTTGTTGGATTTTGCGAGCAGTTCCAACCACTGCTGGATGTGATTCCAAGAAGGAATTACGGACTAAATTATAAAACTGTTAAAAGTATTTAATTAAATTTTAAAACTTTCAAATTTAATTCTAATTGAATTATAAAATCATATTGATAATTTAAGTTGATTTGAATAATTCAAAATCGGGAAAAAAAAATTTGAAGTCGAAATATAATTTGATTCAATTTATGATAGAATCAAATAAAACTATTAATGTAGACATAATTCTAATTTATAAATATAATTGATTTTAAAAAAATAACCTTAAATTAACACAAATTTAATATATATATATGTCTGACTAGACTAACACAAATTTGAGAAAATTGCATTTCAAGGGTTAAATACAGTTTCATATTAATCATTTTATTTTATAAAATTAAATATGATTTTATTTATTAGAAAAAAAATAAACTGTTTTGTATATAAATTTGACCATTTTAAGAATTATACAAGAAAATTAAGGTATAATAAAAAAAATATAATAAAATCAAAATTTATGTAATATAAATACTCTGAAAGTTATATAAATATGTCGGATAAATTTGTGAAGGTAAATATATCACTTTAATTTTATTTTTTAATAGAAGTCGTTATTCTTATTAAAAATTTAAAATATCTAAAATAACAATAAGGATTTAATGAATTAAAAAAAGATTAAGCTATTGAAAGACCATCAAGAGTAAAACGTATCACAATGACAGAGAAAAATGTGTCATAAAAATAAAGAAAAACATGTTACAAAGACATAATTATTCTTAATAAAAAAATATAAAAAAAAATAAAAAGAAAAAAAAATGACGATCAATAATCAGTATCAAACTCACTGTTATCGCCAACTAAACAAAATTTAAAAAAAATTGATCTAATATGTAGAAAATGATATAAACTCCAAAGAAATAAAAAATGGAGGGGGTCAAGAGGAGGGATAGATAGGGTTTTTGTGAATTACATATCACTTTAATTTTAGTTGATATTAAATTTTGAATTTTAAATTAAACAACTTCAATTCTTTTCGTTTATTGAAAAAGGTATATATATATATATATATATATGTATAATAATAATAATAAAATATAACACAAACCAACCTATCTATTATTTTAGTGGTTAAAATAATTATTGATGTTCCTAAAGGTCATGAGTTTGGACACAAACGACTGCAAAGATGATTTAAAACATGTATTACTTTATAATCACCTTAACTTAATCAATATATATATATATATATATATATATATATGATACAATTAAGATTATTGTTAGGACAAAGATAATTAAAAAATATAAGTAGATAGAAGTTATCTTTAAATATATATAGAGACAATATAATAATTATCTCACGTCGAGATAATTATGGATTCTTTTATATTAAATCTGATTCTATTCTAAATTTGATTTCTTATTCACATAACCTATTAGCTTGCTCCGAAATCAAGTTTATTTTAAAAAATCGGAAAATATCGAATTTAGATATTTTAACTCTCTCTATATACACTGTTATAATTTTCTATAAAAATTTATTTTATAAACAAAAACTTCTTAGATGTAAGGATCAAATATTAATCATATAATTATAACTAAAAAAAAATTAGACACATATCATATGCAATTGGATGCACCAGAATCATGAAAAAGTAAAAGAAAAATGCAAAGAAAATCTCAAAAGCCAAAGGTAATAGGAAGGAGGTTAATTATTTTGCAGCTGTTTGTTAAAAACAGGAGGGAAAGAGATGAGTAAAAGTTGCCTAAAATGTTGTTTTGTTTGTTGTTGAAGCCAAGCGGTCAAAGTCAAACCCCTTCAACCAATGAATCAGAAAATAAAAAACTGAAAAAATTAAAATAAAATATAAAAATTCCAACAAAAAAACCATAAACATAACCCAAAAACCCACAGGAAAGAAAAAAAAAGCCACCTTGTCATGGTGGTGGTTTTCAAAACTTAAGATTTGTTTTGTTAAATTTGTTTTCTTTGTCAAATCTCTCTCAAGTCTACCTTTCTACGTTTCTTACAGCCTTGTTTTGTTGTCTTAAAACATTCTTAACCTTTTTTTGTTTTGTTTTGGGGTTAATCATTTGATTATTTTGTTTATTTAATCCTTCAAAATAATGGGTCTTTGAAGTCTTCTTAGGCAGACTTATAACTGAAAGATCATGCAAGATTCTTCATTGTTTCATAAGATCTGTAAGAAGAAAATCTCTGTTGGATCCTTTTGTTATTAATTTATTTTTGTTTGACGTTTTTAAGGTGATGGGTTATCTGTATCTGAAAATTCTTTCAATTTTCTCAAATTTCCTTTCTTTAACGCATGTAAAAGATTTACAATGCAGGTTACAGGTTGATTGGTGTTTGAAAATTTCTATTTTTGTTCCAAAGTTGATGTTTTTATATTTCTAGACATACCCAAAGCTTGGTTTTAATTTTCATACATGTTATAGATTGATTGGTTTCTGAATTTCTTGAATGTTGTTCTAGATTTGTTTCCATTTTCATGCTTTTATTGATAAGTGTGGAATTTTGCAAGTTCATGTCTTTTCTTTAATGTTTTAAGATATAGATTGATGATTGTCTGAAAAAAGTTTTGTTTTTTTTTTGGTCTGAATTATGTAGATTAATGTTGTCTGCATTAATCGATGCGTGATTGAGTTCTGAAGCTTCGGTTGCGGATTTGGGAATCGATAAAAAACCGGAGCAAGTTCTTAGGTTGTGATTAATTTTCTCAGTATTGGTTTTATGAAAAACTTGATTGCTTGGTCATTTGGGTTAGAATATGTAAGTTATGATATCGGGATCGTTAATGCGAATGGTACCGCCCTGCTGGAGGCCTTCCGTTGAGGGTGAAGATTCTAGTGGAGGTAGTGATGCTAATGGTAGGGTTGATGGCTTGTTGTGGTATAAAGATTCGGGGGAACATTTTGCCGGTGAGTTTTCGATGGCAGTAATTCAAGCAAACAATCTATTGGAAGATACTAGCCAACTCGAATCAGGTCCATTGAGCTTGTTCGAAATGGGGCCTCGTGGGACATTTGTTGGAGTTTATGACGGTCACGGAGGTCCGGCTGCTGCTAGGTTTATAAATGAACACCTTTTCAGCTATATCAAGAGTATGCTTTTCTTTCACCTCTATCCTGAGTTTCATCATTTTATGCTATTTTGTGCACTTCAGTTGGGATAGATTTTGATGTTTGATGAGTGACATCTTGGCTTGTTTCGACTGCTTGTCTCGGAAATTTCGTTTTTGATAGTCATATCCCCATACCCATATGTGAGAATATGCAGGACACCGGTAGTTCAAGAAAAATGAAGAGTCGGAACATCTTATTTTCCTAAACATGAAATTGTGTTTGTCCTCCCTAGTTTTAGTTTTTTATGATAGCTGATGCATATTGTTTACTGACTTGACAGCTATTATGATGCAGAGTTTACAACCGAAAATAATGGGATGTCGGCGGATGTAATCAACAAAGCATTTTTGGCGACTGAGGAGGATTTTCTTGCTCTTGTCAGGAAGCACTGGCTAAATGACCCTCAATGGGCTTCTGTCGGTTCATGTTGTTTGGTCGGAATAATTTGTAGCGGACTGCTATACATTGCAAATGCAGGAGATTCTAGAGTGGTCTTAGGAAGACTGGATGACAACTTTAAAGAGGTCAAGGCAGTTCAGTTATCATCCGAGCACAATGCGAGTCGAGAATCTGTGCGGGAAGAGTTGCAATCAGTACATCCATACGATCCACAGATTGTGGTCCTCAAGCACACAGTATGGCGTGTGAAGGGTATTATTCAGGTAGTTTATCGTGTTTGTGGGATATTACTCTATCTGTTGATAATTTGTTATTTCCATCTATGTTCTTCCGACTCTTCATTTTTCTCGAGGTATTCAAGTCCGAAATATATTTGTACAAGTACCTTTGTAGGGACCCTCCGATAACCCACCAACTACATGGAAAAACTTGGAAAAGAATTGGACATACCTGTATCCAACAGTCACGTCCTAGTCTGAGTAACAGCTTTACTTCTATAAACAAATGTCTCATGTCAGCGAAGTAACCACTTTAAATCGATGAAAATTGTTCGATTACTTTCTCATTCCAAATCTTATGACTATTGAATATGAAGTTTCCAAGAATACCGATACAAGTGTTTGTCATTTTCGTTTCTAGGTTCCAGAATTTGGTATATTTTACATCATTTTATGTTTCCGTGGGAGCATCCTCTACCTGAATTGTTATCTGTTTGCATGTTTATTTTCATAGAAAATGGAACTTTTCGGGGAAATTTCCGTTTGAATTACTATCAATCTGACTGAGAAAATTAGCATGATCTACCCCAACAGGCATGTGCATTCTATAGTCCGTTGACCAAAGTTTATCATGTGACAGATTTCCAGATCCATTGGTGATGCTTATCTAAAGAATGCGGAGTTCAACAGAGAACCTCTATTGCCGAAGTTTAGAGTTCCCGAATCGTTCGATAAACCAATCCTTAGAGCTGATCCAGCAATATTAGTACATAAAATCGACCCTGAAGATCATTTTCTTATATTTGCATCAGATGGCCTATGGGAACACCTTAGTAATCAGGAGGCAGTTGACATCGTCAACACCTGTCCACGTAACGTAAGATTTTTTTTTTGTGATTTTCTTTTTATCGGACTAGAACTGTACTGCTCTGATTCTTCATTTTTCTCGAAGTGCCAGTGTTTGACATTTGTGTCGAATGCATATCCGGATATGATTATAGAGACATGATTCTACAAAGATCATCCAAATACATGATTTTTTTTATATGAACATATCCAAGTTACGTTGTACCTGTATGATCGCACACACCCGACTCCGAGAAAAGTTGGACTAGAAAACAATAACCTTTTTTCATGATTGAATTAAATGTTGAGGTCACTTAGAACTTAGAAGTCGTAATTTTTACCAATGATTCAGTTGCCTCGAGGTATACTTACAAGAGATGCTTACACAGGGTATTGCCAGGAAGCTTGTCAAAGCCGCTCTTCGTGAAGCAGCAAAGAAGAGAGAAATGAGATACTCGGACTTGAAAAAGATTGACCGTGGCGTGAGGAGACATTTCCACGACGACATAACAGTCATCGTTTTGTTTCTGGATTTCCATATGGTAAGCCGCAGCTACTGGCATGGCCCCCTGGTTTCAATCCGAGGAGGTGGACAAGGCGTTTGCTAGTGCAACAGGTCCTAAACCTCTTTATCATTTGCTCCTCGTTAATCCTTAATAGAATTCTCGATATATGTAAGTTACCGGCTTCAGAGTGCCTTTCGGAGAATTCTCCGGAGTTCACTCTGCTAACAGACACATGATAATCGAAAAAATATAAATTCATTGACGCATATGGTATAGTCAATTTGCCTGCAGAATCGATTCGTATTGCAAAGTATCCATGTTAGTCACTTGTATCGAATGTATTTGTGTCGGAGGATGATTCATCCTCGACTCACGATAACATAGAGTTCTAATTCTTGTTGCCTCGATGTTTCATTCGAACTGAGCACTAGTTCATTGTTTCAGAAGTTTACATGAACAAAGCCTCTATGGTTTTAGCAGGTGGAAGTTGTCATATTGTCTGCTATCCGAAACCATAGTTAGTTAAAGACACGGTGATCGACACGGCGAATGAATTGCGGAACCATGGTCAATATTGACGGGTTTCTTCGATCTTTTGTTTCCGTGAATGCCGGAAAATTACTCTGTTTTCAACATTCTGCAATTTTCCCCCCAGCAGTGAGTTATAAAAAGATTTCCAGAGGTGCCATGGCAATCAAAATGTCAAACTCCAAACTCTTTGATTTATTATTTTTAGTTTTGACTAAATAAATTTAACTTCCGATACCCAATTTAACATTTCAGTTCAATTTATACTATAATTAAAAGCTGTTCACTAACTCATATAAAATGTTATATTAAATTACCGAAATGACTAACAATTAAAATAGATAACATTATTCAATAAACCAACGTTTTATAACCGATGATCATTTGTGTACTTTATCCTTAAATATTGTACTTTTCCAAATCAAATTGAGAATTTCTCGAAGATGCTATTGTCCCATTTAAATTTTAAAAAGTTATAAACTTTTTTTAATAGTCTTAGAATATTATAAGATAATATCTAAATGCAGTTGTTTGAACTCAGGACCTCTAATTAAAATAAAGGTCATCAATTCAAATTTCTTGAAGTTTTTTTTGAGAAAACATATTTTTTTTAAATATTTTAATATGATAGTATCTATGCATGAATAAATATATATTTTTTCACATTTTAATGTGATCTTATGATAGTATATATTCCGCTTTTAGTCTTAATTATTAAATATAAACTTGGTTTGCAGATAATATTATACAAATTTAAATTATCTGAAAAAATACATAAAAAATAATTTTAATGATTTAATTTTACGATATTTAATTATACAAAACTATTTTATTATATTACATGAAGTAATATATATAATCGAGTAAAACCACCATGTAAATAAGGCAAACATAATGAAATTATTGCTGGAAAAATAAACTACTATTAAGCAAAATATTAACACCGACGGAAAAGTCAATTTGAATAGAAATAGAATAAATTACATAGGTGTCGTAAAAGAATTATTGTTTTTAAAATAAATTCGTCCTAATTAATATAATCGTTAAACAAAAATTATCCTTTAAAGTAAACACAATTCTTCAATATTAATACATTCAAACGTTAAAATCAAAATAAGTCGATATTACTCTTTTCGAAAAGACAGGTTGAGATCGAAAATACTATCCGATTATAATCTAATGATCAGAAAATAATACTCCAAAAAACATGTATAGAACTTTTTTCCCGGTAACAATTAAAAACACCGTAAACCAGTGTAAAGAACCACTCCTCAGCCTGCAAATGAATGGCTCAAAGACATCAAGTAAAAAATAATAGCGGTTACAAAAGTAATTAATCGTCACAAATATTATTTTAAGGGTCTTAAAACATTTTCAATATGTTGTAACGTTGACTTTGAGTGTTGTTTATACTAAATCTTTTTAAATAAAACGATGTCATTTTGAATATTTTTTAACATTAAAATAGCGCATCAATGTTATTTTGATGCAACAATCATATAATTGACTGTCTCAGCCTACTTTTCCTAATATTGTAATTCAAAAAAAAAACTATTACAGTACATATGAATTTTTTTCTTTCAATACCTTATATGGACATTTTTGCCACGTTACATGTTTTTATTTAAAAAAAGCTATTTTTCTAAATAATAGAAAATACTACTATTTAAATTTTATTCATATAAATAATAAAAAATATTATTTTAAATAGAATTACCTGAAAAAAATCAGAAACTTTTTTTCAAAACTTTTACAGAATAAGTTAATTCAAACAAATTGAATGTCTCGTATTCCATTCATTACAAACCATAAAACTTACATAAACAAAAAAATATAGAAATCCATTGTTTTTTTGTTATTTTTTGTAGATTTGCCTTCACCACCTAAACTCCCTTTTTCTCTCACTCCCTGGCACTTTCTCTTCATCCAAGCAGCGAAAAATCGAAGCTCTCTTTCCGCCTTTTACATTGGCTTATAAAATCTATAACAAAAAGTCTCCGAAAAATCCTCTCTCCCTCGTAAATTTCACGGGCCAATCAAATCGGTCCACGTCTGCAGCAGCCAAATGAGATCCTCCGCCGCCGCCGGCACCGCCATTATTACTGCTCCCGCCAAAGGCGGAAACTCCCTTATAAGCTTCGAACACAAGAGGTACGCTGTTCTCGACTCGCCACCTGTCCCTTCGATTTCTCTTCCTCTCTCTGATCCATTTTAATTTTGATAAGATCTTACTTTTTGTCTTATTTTTAGCCAAACCTTTTGTTTTGATTGTTCTTGACTCTCGATCTCTTGTCCGTGATTCTCGATTTGGATTTGATGATCTGGAATGTGATTTAATATTAGGAGCAAATTGGAATGTAAAAATGTTAAAATTTTGATACATTTTTGCTTTAACTCTGCAATCGTTGGATGCCGATTGCTGGTAATTTGTAGCTCGGTTTTGAAGGTTTTGACATTTTTTAGTTTGATGTCAAGATCTTATTGAACTGGGTGAGTTTGGTTTGGAAAATCGAGTAATGTGGTGGCTGGTTGCTAGTAATTTATGTAAGCTTTAGCTGAGGACGTTGTTGGAGTCCGTGATCTTTTATTGATAAAATTGCATGGATTGTGGACTTGTAATTTGATTTTTGAGCAAATTGTGTGGTAAATGAGTGATAACGGAAATTAGAGAGGTTTACGTTATTGAATCTACGTTGTTGTCTTGTTGTCACTAGTGTATGTAAGCAATGGTTGGAGAAGGATTACGGTTTATGTAAGCTATATTCGGATCAAATTACATGCTATTTCACTTTTAGTTTGATGTCTACTGTTAATTCTCAATGAGTTATCTTGATTTGAATTTGATAAATTTAGGTTAACATTACAGATAATTTTAAACTAGTTTAGTTTAAACTGTTGTGGTAATTGGTGATTGTTGGAGCCGATTGGAAGTAAATTAAGCTAGTTTTCTGCGTAGTGTTGTGGAATATTAGCTATCTTTTTGCGTGTTTTGTTTTGGAACGACTTCTTGTTAGTGGGAATTATGGAGGTTTCTTTTTGAACATTTGGAGGTTAATGAAGGCTTATTATTGACAGGGATGCTTATGGATTTGCGGTGAGACCTCAGCATCTGCAAAGGTACCGAGAATATGCTAATATCTACAAGGTATTTTATTCGACTCGGTCTTCTGCTTTTATGGCATTTTTAATTTTAAACCATCACCTTTTGTTTGGCTGCTGAGGAAAAGGATGATGAAATGGCCAACTCATATATTGTGGTGGATATTGAATTTTGTGTCTTACTCCCTGCTTAGTTAGAAATGGTTGATAATGTGTCGTAGAGATATTATCTGAAACTGAAAATAACTTGAGCAAATAAATTCTGTGAAGAATTAAAATATTTCCTGTAGTACATCCCCCCAACCCAACTTCTCTCTCTTCCACATTCTTATGGGTCTTGAATGTAACAAGCACAATAGTTCAGGTCTTTCATATAGTTGCTTTAACTAGTTTTTGGGCAACTGGGTGGAGACCGAAGAGAATACGTTCGCCTAAGATAAATTATATGTTTAGATCCCGTCTATTTACATGACTTTAGGAAGAAGAGGAGGAAAGATCAGATAGGTGGAATGATTTCTTGGAACGTCAAGCAGAGTCTGCTCAATTGCCAATCAACGGTATATCTTCAGAGGAAGGCAAGGAGGCCTCACTTGCTGCTGAGGATGGGAACAATGTAGTGGAGAAGGGCACTGAAGGAGATGATTTGTCTGAAAGGAAGTCCGGTTCTGATAGCCTGTCTGAGAATGATACGGAAAAAGAGAAGATGCAGTCTGCACCAGCGAAAAGAGTTCACCAGATCCAAATATGGACTGAAATTCGACCGACCCTTCGGGCCATTGAAGATATGATGAGTATTCGTGTAAAGAAGAAAGACATTCTATCAGAAGATGAGCAAAAAACCAGTCGAGGAAAGCCGTTAACTCCTACTGAAGATTCTAGATCCCCAAAGGGAGCATCAGAGGAGGATTCTGATGATGAATTTTATGATGCAGAGAGATCTGACCCAGTTCAGGATTCCCCTACAAGTGGCAGTGGATGTACCAGAACTGGTGGTGCTGCTGATGCAGCTCCTACAGAATCTTTATTTCCCTGGAAGGAAGAGTTGGAAGTTCTTGTTCGTGGTGGAGTGCCGATGGCTCTTAGGGGAGAGGTATTTTATTTGATCTTCTGTTATTCTCTCTTGATTTTCCGCATACACACTCTTCCTCTGTCTCATGAACTTGGACATTTCAGCTTTGGCAAGCCTTTGTCGGTGTGAGGGCACGCAGAGTGGAAAAGTATTACCAGGATCTACTAGCTAATGAAACTAACAGTGGCAACAACAATGAACAACAGAGCTTGCAATCTGACAGTAAGGGTTCAACAACAGAGCCTGTTTGTGGTCCTGAGAAGTGGAAGGGACAGATTGAGAAGGTTGTTCCATTGAAAGTTTTTTGAATTCTATATTTAGTTTCTTCAGAATCTGGTGCTACCTTTTGCTTTGTGTTATTAATTTGAGTTTTCTAATCAATTAGTGGTTCTAAAAACAGGATTTGCCTCGAACATTCCCAGGTCACCCTGCTCTGGATGATGACGGTAGAAATGCTTTGAGACGATTGCTTACAGCTTATGCTCGACATAACCCCTCTGTTGGCTACTGTCAGGTATTAGGTTCTGAAATATGCAGCTATGGTCATGCTTCCTGTGTTTTGGT